CACTGCACCATTCTCATCCTTCTTGGGAGATCCAGTGCTGCTTAATAGTTGGACGGTGTGCTTAAAGAGAACTGGTGAGTTTTTTTTTTATAAACGGACAGAGCTGAGTAGAGGATTTAGTTTTTGCTTTCTTTGACTTATTTGGATTTTAAGTTTTAAGACTTGTTTCTATTTTTATTCTCTCTTTTTATTTTTCTTTCTTTGTTGAAAGGGAAAGTAAAATGGCGATCGGCAAATCTCTCGGTGTTTTTTTTCTGGAAGTTAGAATGCTGACCGGCAGGCTTTTTGGTGTTTCTCTTTCTTTCCTTTCCCTTTCCCTTTTTATTTTCTTATGATTGGAATGGTTGTTTTTGGTATCTTTAAGTATTTTTTTGGAACGGACTTTTTCTATTTAATTATTTTTTTTTCTTCTCCCCTTTTTTTTTTCTTTTCTTTGAACTCCCTTCTTTTTATTGTAATGACCCTTTTTTGAAGGACTTTTTTCTGTTTAATTTTTGCAATTTTTAAGAAGGAGTAAAGTTTTTTTTTTAATTCCTTTTCTCTTCTTTTTTTTCCCTTTTTTCTTTTTATTATAATGACCTTCTTTGGAGGGAGTTATGATTTTTGAAGGAATTTTTATAATTTTTTAAGAAGGACTAAAGGTTTTTCTTTAAGATGGCTCCAAAGCGTCCAGGGATTTCTACAGCTTCTAAATCAACAGTTTCACCCTCTTCTGGGGGTCAACTAATAACTATGAAGGATTTGCAAGACATGATGGGAGATGTTATAATTCAAATTAGGGCAGAAATGAAAAAGATTTTAGAGGAAAATAATAAGATCTTGAGACAAGATTTTGTTTTGGCTTTAGAAGGAGTTGCTTCTGTTCTTGAAAAGGTGAACTCCCATGTGGAAGAGGTAGCTGAAAAAGTGGACATAATGGAGGGGAAAATTGAAAGTATGGAAAAAGAAATGGAAAATGAGATTCTTATGCTTCAATATGGACAAATGGAATATGCCTTAAGAATTAGAGGCCTGGGAGAGTCTTTGCAAGGAGATCTGAAGGAGATGGTTGCAAAGGACTTTGCATTGATTTTGAATAAAGAAAAAGAGGGAATACTTAGTGAAATTGAAAAATTATTTAGGGTTAACTCTGTGGTGGCAGCACAGAAGAATCTGCCAAGAGATGTGGTAATTTACTTTGGTAAAATCTTTGTGTGAGAGGCCTCAACAAGTCCAGGTTGAGGAGCAGAAGACAACTTGTGCAGTATACAATTCCAAAGAAAAGCAGCAACAGAAGAAGGTTAAGGAAGTTTCATATTCAGTGGTCTCTGAATCTCTGGGAGATGTTAGACCTACAAAGTCTTTGGAGCAATCTTCAAGGGTGGAATTGCTGCCTGAAATGGAAATTGGGAAATCTCAGTTTGAGGGGCATCAACAAGAGAGGAACGGGCAGAGGATAACTTGTACAACTTACAATTGTAAAGACCAATACAAGGAGGAATTCAAGGAACCCTTACCTGTATTGGCTTCGGAGTCGATGGGAGATTCAGGAATTTTGGAGCAGTCTCCTAAGGCAGAACTTGCAGCATTTCTTACGAGTTTGATACAAGAATGGAGAAGGGAAATGGAAGAATGGAAGAATGGAGAATGGAAAAAACTGGAATGTGAATAATTAATAATAATACTAATATAATTGAGACTGATAAGGATGCAGTTTCTTACGGATGGAATTTGTTATTGGTGAAGATTGAAATGTTTAATGTGTTTATTATGGATAGGCATATAAGGGAATTTTGTTGTTTTAAGTTTTGAACCTTTAATGATAATATTGTTTAAATTTGTGTTTTGAAGGGATTATAATTTGCTCATTTTAGTGAGGGGATTCTAATGTTTTAAATTTTAAGTAATGTTTAAATTTGTGTTTTGAAGGGAGTATAACTTGTTCAAGTTTTAAGTATGCTTAAATTTGGTTTTTAAATATTATTAATATTTTTAAGAGAAAATAATTTGTTTAATTAAATGTCTAGATTTGTTTAGGAAAGAAAGTAATGTTTAAATTTGTGTTTTTGGAGGGAGTTTATATAGAATGATGATTGTATTTAGATTTGTTTAGGATTTAAAAGTGTTTCTAGTTTTTAAATATTATTATTAATATTTTTAAGAGAAAATAATTTGTTTAATTAAATGTGCTTAGATTTGTTTAGGACTTATAGGTTTTTTAAGTTTTTTCTTTTTGGATAGGAGAGAAGATTATGAAGATTGAAGGAAATATGTATTTACTTTAAGTTTTTTAAGAGTATTTAGTTTTAATGGTATAACAAAGGTTTATATGTTTATTTTTTCGTTTTAGGATAAAGAAAGAGGGAGAAATTAGATTTTACACTATAGATATAGATATTCAAAGAAAGTAATGTTTAAATTTGTGTTTTTGGAGGGAGTTTATATAGAATGATGATTGTATTTAAATTTGTTTAGGTTTTAAAAGTGTTTTAAGTTTTTTTTTTTTTTTAATTAAGCCTGTACTCAGCTCTGGGAAGTCCAGGGGAGGGTTTGGGAGGTTGGGAAGGGGGGGGGTGAGGTAGGGTTGGGGGGGGGTATGGGAAGGGGATTTGTTTTTGTAAAATGTAAAAAATTTTCAATAAAAAAAAAAATAGTTGGACGGTGTGGGTGGGGTTCTGTGATGTCAAATCTATATAGAATCTGAGGTTTGCATGACAGCAGCTCAGACATTGATTGTTATTGCTTAATAATCATCTCAGGACAATCACGGCTGAGACTGCAACAAGCAAAGAAAGATTTTAATCCTTAACTGAATGCCACATTTTTGATAAAATTTGCTCTTTGACATGAGAAAAAGATATTGGCATTAAATTGGAGCAGTAACATTTCCTGGGGCTATGATCAAGGAAGGCCCATTCCTTTATTCTACAGTTCCACTCCCAATTGCTTCCCCTATCACAGCAGTTGCTATTAACAACAGATGCATTAAAGGGGATCAAGAATTTCATATCTTGCCTGATTTGATTATGATTATAGAACCTACATTTATTTTTCATTTAGAACGGGTATTTGCTATAGGAGTTCATCCCCTTTGCAAACTGACATCCAACAGAAAGTAATTTTTTTAATTAAAGATATTAATAGGTTAATAGATATCAATGTGCCTCTGAATAGTGTTTTAAAGTGCCATATATTGTAGATTGAACATTAGGAAAATGTAGTGTTCTTGGAGCTAAAGGGCTACCTATATCTGCTCATCATTTGGTGTTGTCCCAAAGGTGCTTTTTCAGGGGCCAACTGGACTTTCTTGTTTTTCTTTGAAAACGTTTCAGTTCTCATCCAAGAAGCTTCTTCAGATCTGACTGGATGGTGAGAAATGGAAGAATTTATATGCCTTCTATGCAAATGACCAGCTGTCTGCAAGGTATATAAATCTTTCCATTCCCCACCATCCAGTCAGACCTGAAGAAGCTTCTTGGCTGAGAAGTGAAATGTCTTCAAAGAAAAACAAGAAAGCCCAGTTGCCTCCTGAAAAAGCACCTTTGGGACAACCATGATTGAGAATCTCCATGTTAATAGATAATAATTTATTTTCTGGTAAAAGATCAATTGGATTAGTCCATTGAAAATATCTTTCTAAGGTCATTACGAAATTTGAGCTTTTATATACATCACTCAGATCAACAGTCACGCAACTACACAAAGAGCCATGACTATTTTTATCCAGCCATAAATTATATCTTATTGTACTCAGATCTTAATTTCATTCTGATTTCAGCAACATCAAACTATGCTGGGGAGGTTACATAATTTCAGAAACTATACTGCAGATTTTAAGGTTTTATTTCTCATCTTCCATTCAATTAAAAAGTAATGCTAAACAAATATGATAGGGATAATACGATCATAGCCCATTCATTTATGGACCATCCAAAGTTAAAGCACTGAAAAAAAGGGAATTATAATTGTTTTTCAGACTTACGACTGTTGCAGCACCCCTATAGTTACATGATCAAAATTTGACCGCTTTGTAACCTGCATGTATTTATGAGAGCTGCAGTGTCCTGGGGTCATGAGATCACCTTTTGTGACCTTCTGGCAAGCAAAATCAATGGGGACACCAGAATCACTTAACAACTATGTTACTAACTTAGTAACTGCAGTGATTCACTTAACAACTGAGGCAACTAAAGTTGCAAAATGGGGCTATCAATGACTATCTTGCTTAGCAATAGAAATTTTAGGCTCAATTGTAGTCGTAAGTCAAGGACTACCACTATTATATATAGAATATCTTTATTTTTTATTCTGTTTATTTCTGTTCATTATATATATCCTTTCATTTCATGTTTTGATACATATCATCTAACCAAAAGGACAAAAGGAAAAGATACTTAAAAGAACTGAAGAATGCAAATCAGCTAGAGCTGTTAACAAAATAAACTATAGAAAACAGCTATCATGGTTGCACTGATGGCATTAATAAACGAGGAAAATTGTTGCTTTCATTTCTTGAGAAAGATTATTGAAAACATCCACCAAGAATAAAACATATGACGTCTGAACAAAGAATAAGAATAAACACTTATTGTGAGAATCTGCACAGATTCTATGATATATACTGTATAACAGATGGGAATATTGTATTGGAAAGACACTGAGATTCACCACAAACAGTCCTTAGGAATTTCCTATTCTCCTTGATCTACTCAGCCAGCAGATAAAATACTTCTTTTTCTCTGTCTTCTTATTCTCATCTTTTCATAGATGGATATTGATAGATATATTGTGTGCATTTGTGATGTGTGAGTGGATGGGTGTATATGTGGATGGATGTATTTAGAACATTTTCTAATAAAATAGATAGAAAGCATTCTATCATGTTACATGGAGCCTTAACAAATACATGCTCTGACACTGCATACAAGATCCTTAATAAACTAGACAAGCAATTTAGCAGAGCTAAAACACCAAATAAGATTGTTTACAGTGTTAATGTTATCCATATAAGAAACCATTACCTCAGTCAGATGAGGGTTGGGGTTGAATCCACATTGGTTGCAGACCTTGTTCTGACACTGTGTACAGGTATTGAAGTTTGGCTGGTTAGGAGAGGAGGTGAGATCTGTTGTCTTGCATATAGGGCAGAGCGTGCTACTGGGAAGGGGGGCAATTTGTGGGACTGAATAAGGTGAGGTAGGCGTGCTGCCTCGCTCCGGGGAAACAGATGGTGAACGTCCACCCACTTGGAGAGTCCTCCTGGGCCCATCCGTGTGTTGGGGAGCATGCCCCTGGCTCCGTTTCTCTCTTGGGGTTTCGCTGCCTGGAGCAACTTTTGTCAGGGACGGGGAAGGTGTCCTCTGTCCAAAGGAGGAATCTGATTGTTCTGGTCTTCTCGGTGTGCTGAAACACATGAAAAGGCATATTGAATAAAATGGTGATAACAACACAAACTCCCACAGAAAAGGCTGGAAAAAACAATCTAAGTAGTTTGAAGAGTTGCAGTTAATTACTGCCAACAGATGTTCAAACACAAGGATTGCATTGTCTTATTTATTTTTAATACTCCCAATAATAGGAGTTATTCTAAGAAGCAGTTAGAGCTCACCATACCTAGAGCATATTTAATGTCAGACTGGCTCAAACCTGTTCCTTTTTCTGCAGCCTCAAAAAAGAGAGATTATATGTACACTGAGAACCAACAGAAATCAGGTATCCTCTATCAACCTAAGCAAGTTCCCATTACTGGAAAAGGTTACCTGATCATTTGCAGGACCATTTCATGTCACAGCACAACCAGTCTCATACTGCTGATTCCAGGCTACAAAATAACTGAAGCAAGGGGAGACATTCCAACTATGACACTATATTTTATTACACATCAGTCATGCAAGAACAGAAAGGCATCCAAAAAGAGAAGCCAATTCTGGTTGGTGATTCAATTATAAGGATGTAAATTTAGGAAAGGACATAGAGGTTTCAAAAGAGGTCAGGTGTCTTCCAGGTGCTACTGCAAGTAGGGACAAGAAGCATATTTTTAAAATAGTCAGGAATGCCAGCAAGGACTGTGGAGGCTACTGTACATCTTGGCACTAACGATCTTTCCCAAAAAGATGTACTCTCTGTGCAGAATGATTTCCAGAGCTTGGGACGGGAACTTAGCAGTATAGGTTGCAGGCTTACTTTTTCAGAGGTTTTACCAGTGTATAAGGAGCAAAATGGAAAAGGCTAGCATATAGCAGAATTCAATATGTGGCTAAAGGAGTGGTGTAAAGGGGAAGGCTTTGGTTATATTAGTCATGATGTCTGTAGCTGCTCCAATGAAAAAAAATGTACAAAAGAGATGGTTTGCATCCATCAAAGAAAGGGACTGAGTTACTTGGCAATAAACTCACAGATTTTCTGGAGGAATATTTAAACTAAATAGCGGGGACAGTGAGTTAATTGATACAGGACATCCCTGTCCCCAGCAATCAAAAAAATTATAAGGTTAGCAGTGCATGTAAAATAGATGTGTGTGTAGAAAAGAACCTTGCTGTCAAAAAAAATCAAGCTTTTAATAGCGAGTGCCACACAAAGTGCACTAACCAAACAGGTGGTAAGAAAATAGGGGAACTCAGGCACCACGCAGTGGTGTAGAAAGTAAACACAGGGTCAGTCATAAAGGACTCAAATGTCTATACACCAATGCACAGAGTATAAACAGTAAACAGGGTGAACTAGAAATTCAGGTAAATGAGGACAAATATGATATTGTTGCCATTTCGGAAACATGGTGGGATGAAACCCACAAATGTAACACACAGCTAGAGGGATTTAAATTATTTAAAAGAAACAGACCAAATAAAAGAGGAGGTGGAGTTGCTCTCTATATAAGAAATAACTGCATCTCTACAGAAATAGAGAACAACAATGATGAAAACTGCCTTGAATGCATTTGCGTCAATATAAAAGGGGGGAAAATGACATTGCCATAGGTGTATAATATAGGCCACCCAACCAAACAGAGGAAATAGATGAACTTTTTGCTAGTCAGCTAACTAAATTATGTAGGAAGCACATCACAATAGTAATGGGGTACTTTAATTACCCTGACATCAACTGGGAGACAAACTGTGCACCAAGTGGAAGATCAAATAGATTCCTGACAAACCTAGCAGACAACTTTGTCTCCCAAAAAGTAAAGAAGGGAACTAGGGGATTAGCCATATTGGATCTAATCCTCACTAAAAGAGATGAAATGATAGAAGATGTTGAAGCCACAGGAACCTTGGGGGGAAGTGATCATGCAATATTGGAATTCAACATTCTGGAAGCACAAGCAATAGAACACAGTCAAACTAGAGTCTTGGACTTTAAGAGAGCTAATTTTAATAAACTTAGAGAGAGCTTGGGAAAGATTCCATGGATGAGAATCCTCAAGGGGAAAACAACTCAAGAAGCTTGGGAAATTTTGAAAAGTGAGATAATAAAAGCCCAGTTTAGCACAATATCAACAAAAAAGAAAAATAACAGCTCTCAGAAGAAACCAGCATGGCTGCATAAAGAACTCTCTGATAAATTGAAAGATAAAAGATAAAAAGGACAAGTATAAAAAGTGGAAAGAGGGGCACATAACTAAGGCAGAATATCAGCAAATAGCCCGAGCCTCCAAAGATGAAGTGAGGAAAACTAAGGCTCACAATGAACTAAGGCTTGCGACCAAAGTCAAAAATAACAAAAAAAGCTTCTTTCAACATGTAAAAAACAAGAAAAAAGTTAAGGAAATGATTGGTCTGTTAGTGGGGGAAAGGGGCAAGAAGGTGACAAGCAACAGGGAGAAAGCAGAACTATTTAACTCGTTTTTTGCATCTGACTTTACACAAAGGGAAAAAAACAGTCCAACCTATCAAAAATAGTACCATAAAAAACAGATTAGAAACACAAGTTAAGATAGGCAAGAAAATGGTAAGTAAGTACCTGTCCACCCTAGATGAGTTCAAATCACCAGGACCAGATGGATTACACTGCAAGATTCTGAAAAAAAATGGCAGATGTGTTCTCAGAACCACTGAACTTTATCTTTCAAAGATCATAGAGCACTGGGGAACTACCAGAGGACTGGAAAAGAGCTGATGTAGTTCCCATTCTTTAAAAAAGGGGGAAAAATAGATCCAGAAAACTACAGACCTATCACCTGACCTCAATACCTGGGAAGATTCAGGAAAAGATAATCAAACAACGAATCAGCGAACACATAGAGGCAAACAAAGTCATTACTAAAATCCAACATGGGTTTGTCAAAAACAAATCATGCCAGACAAATCAAATGACAAAATTAGTGGACCAGAGGAATGCTGTGGATATAATTTACTTGGACTTCAGTAAGGCATTTGATAAAGTAGATCACAACCTACTACATGATAAGATAGAAAAATGTGGGTTAGACAGCATCACCACCAGATGGATTAATAGCTGGCTGACTGGCTGTACTCAGTGTGTGGTCCTCAATGGAACTGCATCTACATGGAGGGAAGTGTGTAGTGGGCTGCCCCAGGGCTTTGTTCTAGGCCAGGAGTAGGCAACCTTGGCTCTTTTATGACTCGTGGACTTCAACTCCCAGAATTCCTGAGCCAGCCATGGCTCAGCTTGGAAACCTCTCCCTTTCCCCTCAGCATGGCTGTCTCAGGAATTCTGGGAGTTGAAGTCCACGAGTCATAAAAGAGCCAAGGTTGCCTACCCCTGTTCCAGGCCCAGTGCTCTTCAACATCTTCATCAACAATTTGGACAAAGGGATAGATGGGGAATTCATCAACTTTGTAGACGACACCAAGCTGGCAGGAACAGCCAACACTCCCAAAGATAGGCTTAAGATACAGAAGGATCTTGATAGACTTGAACACTGGGCGCTATCTAATAAAATGAAATTCAACGGTGAAAAAAGTAAGGTTCTACATTTAGGCAAGAAAAACCAAATGTACAGGTATAGTATAGAGGGTTCCTTGTTCAATAGTAGCAACTGTGAGAGAGATCTTGGGGTCCTAGTGGACAATCACTTAGATATGAGCCAGCAGTGTGCTGCAGCTGCCAAAAAAACCAACACAGTGTTAGGCTGCATTAATACATGAAGTAATAATATCACTTTACAATGCCTTGGTAAGGCCACACTTGGAATACTGCATCCAGTTTTGGTCACCTCGATGTAAAAAAGATGTTGAGATTCTAGAAAGAGTACAGAGAAGAGTAACAAAGATGATTAGGGGATTGGAGGCTAAACGTATAAGGAACGGTTGCTAGAATTGGATATGTCTAGTTTAATGAAGGGAAGGACGAGGGGGGACATGGTAGCAGTGTTCCAATATCTCAAGGGCTGCCACAAAGAAGAGGGAGTCAAGCTATTCTCCAAAGTGCCTGAAGGCAGGACAAGAAACAAGGAATGGAAACTAATCAAGGAGCGAAGCAACCTAGAACTAAGGAGAAACTTCCTGACAGTTAGAACAATTAACAAATGGAACAACCTGCCTCCAGAAGTGGTAATGCTCCAACACTGGAAGTTTTTAAGAAGAAACTGGACAGCCATTTGTCTGAATTGATATAGGGTTTCCTGCCTGAGCAGGGGGTTGGACTGGATGATCTCCAAGGCCCCTTCCAACTTTATTATTTTTATTATTAAAAATCAGCTGGTTGTCAAGAGATGAAACATTATCGAGATTATTCAAGGTACGAGATGAAACGCATCTGTTCCTGACAAATGTTTCATCACCCCTAGCAGAAAAGTTTGAAGATGTCTTCTGGGTATCCTGCCTTGCCTATTTGGCTGACATATTTAAAAAGCTAAATGAACTTAATCGGTCACTGCAGGGCCACAGTCATAACGTGCTTATTATGGAAGACAAAGTTTGTGCCTTCTACAAGAAAATCTTCCTGTGGATAGGCCAAGTAAAGAAAGAAAATATTGCATCATTTCCCAATATGTCAGACTTTATTGAACTAAATTCTGTTGCTGACACTGAAAACATTGAAACTGCCATCAAAAATCACTTGGAAAAATTGCACACCGAGTTTGCATTGTATTTTCTATTCGTGTCACGAGGATGTGATACTAGAATTTGTTGGGTTGCATCGCCCTTTATTATGGACAATGTTACGAACCCTGACCTTTCCTCTCAACAGCAAGAAGCACTTCTGGAATTGACATCAAATTGCAATTTGAAGGAACTTTTTAATGAAAAAACACTGACCGAGTTCTGGAGCCAAGTTGCAAAACTGTATCCAGAAGTGGGGGGAAAAGCTATCATAGTTTTACTGCCATTTGGTTCCACATACTTGTGCGAGAAGATATTTTCTTCATTAACATGTATAAAAACTAAGGAAAGGATTTTTTTTTTCAGCTGGAATCTGATTTAATTCTATCAGTAAGCACT